ATGCATGTTTCCAGATGCATGCACCCAAACACAATGCATCCCTTAAAGCTTACAGTCAGGAAGGGCTTGCACAAGGGAGCAAGTGGGCAAAAAGCTGAGAGAAGGTGTGTCAGGTAGGGCTCCTTCACGACCACTCATGTGTCAGGGGAAGTGATTTCCCTGGGTCTTTTTGGCTGTGTGGGGCGTTTCTCTAGGACTCAACAGTTCTTGCTCTCTGACTCTTCATATTAGGCCCCGTAGAGGGGGCTTTTCCTAGCTACTTTGTAGAGTCTGTTTGGACTGCTAAGGGGAGGAGGCCCTAGGCTGGGTCACTGGGCCATAGGAGGTTGAAAGCCCGGAGAGTAGGGCAAAATAAAGTTTTAGAGAGGACCACAGCTTTGCCCAGCAAGGGCTCAGGCCCCACAGGTCTCTCCAGGGGAGTGCAGGTGTGCCATACAGAGGGGTGAAAGCAGCGGTGAGTGATCCTGGGCAAGGAGGACCAACATTCCTAGACCTCAACAAAGTGCTTGAAAGCCCCAGACTGAAGTCCTAGGGGTCCCATAGCTCCCACCCACACCTCCATCGCTCTTACCCAGCACACAGCTGCAGAAAAGAAAGCAAATCACACTGACCTTTTTGCCTTCTTTTTCTCCCAATTCCACTTCCAGACTCGGGCAAGGAGAGGTGAGTGCTTTGTGGTTCTCTGGTGTGGCCTCTAGCTCTGGCCTACAGGAATCTGCCAAGGGGGTGTCCCCACTCAGAATGAGCACTACTGGCAGGGGGGAAGTTTATATCTGTCTTGCTGTTGTTTGATGTACACACACCCACTCTATTTACTACCAAATAAAAGAAATACATCTGTGTTGCCAACAGAAACAGTTCAAGCACTGGCTCCTTGGTCTCCCAGGGCCTGGAGGCACTCGGAGGTGCACAGAAAACGCTCAGAGCAGCAGAGCCTGACACCATGAGGACACCACGGAGTGAGGTCTTTGCTCTTAGGAGTATGAGAGCCAAAGTGGGTGGGAGTTAGCTGAGCTGGTTTGACCAAGTAACTTGTGAGGAGGTAATGGAAGCAACCTTGTCCTGAGATTTTCAGGCTTGTGCTGCAGTGTGGGAGGCCACTGGGCTCCCTGCCCATCGATTTTCAGGATTCTACCCAGCTTGCTTTCACCTGGGGCCATTGGAGAAAACCAGGTGTCCAGGATAGAGTGTGTGACTACATCTGTGCCTTAGCCATCTCAGTGACGCTAAATTCTTATTTGGGTGTCAGTGCTAGAATCCCATTGATATGTGTCTATCATATAAGGTGGGTGCATGCATGTGCTGAATGTTTACATCAAGCATGAACATATCCTATGTTGTTTACATGTGGACAACGTAGAAAGGACTTAGATATGTAGCTTAAATCATTTACTCTGATGATTAACTGGGGTACAGATCTAGAAGGATCTGAAGGTAGAATAGGAAGAGAGTTCTACAGTCTGAAGGAAGAATAAAAGAACAAAATGGGGGTGTCCACACAGTGTCCCAAAAAAAGGTTGCTCTGGCTTCTCCTGTGGAATGTTCATGGGCTGGGGATATAGCTCAGCAGCACAGCACCTGCTTGGATGTTCAGGGGAAATTTTAGAACGCCCCCTTTTTGTGAGAGGTTCCAGCAGACCTTTGAAGAGGCTTTCTAGCTGGGGCAATAAAGTGATACCAGCCAGCTCTCCAGATACGACAATCCCATCAAGTGGTTTCTTGGTCTTTCCTGACAGAAAAACCTGTAGTGCAACCTAGGATGCTTTCTGCTCAGAAAGGCTTTTGTATTCCTCATCCCTGCACCCTGCTCCACTCTTACAGTGGGAGAAATATAAGGACGCAGATCAGTGAGAGGGAAGTGGAGGTTTCCTACCTGGGCAGGTTCCTAGGCTCACACAGCCTTTCCCCAGTCTGTATCACCTCCTCCCCTAGGGTGGCATCTTGGCTCTGGGTAAAGACAAATGGGCCCAAGGGAGGGAAGCTCCCCAGTAGGAGGGAAAGAAAGGCAGCATGGAGCAGGGCAAAGCATAAACTGTAGTTGTGGAGAACCAGTTATTTCTTGACTTTGTAAAGACTGGGTCAGTCAAGAACCGTTTTCTAGAATCCAAACAAATAAAGAAGTGTTTTCTTGGCGTTTGATAACATCGTGTTCTGGTTGTAAAATCTAAGGACGTGTTTGCTATTGCAACATTATTTTTAATGAGCTGTTACTGGCCTGTCCTGCAGTTAGTATTGCCAACAGTAAAAGGCATCATTGTGTTTGCAGGTAACACAAGGAACAACATATTTTGACCCTGAATTTCTGTTTATTTTTCATTTATGACACATGCCCTCATTTTTATCCCAAACCAGAGGGAAATAAAGGGAGATCTATCTTCACTGGAACCCAGACTAAAATTTTGCTGTGAATAAGCATGCTGGTTTATTTGGGGGCGGTTTTCCATCAACAGAAAATTATACTCGACGTTTCAGCCACAGTCGAATCAATTGTGTCGACTGAATTTGAGGAGACCAGCGACGCACCGGGAGAAGGGAGCGCTGAAAGGCGCTCTCCAGCGGTCGCTTCTGGCGGCGTGCTTTCCCTCCAGAAGCTTCTGGGCCTTCACCTTCCTGTCTCCCCCTTTCGGCTCCCAAGCTTCAAAGTGCACTGCAAGGATGGCGCAGGCACTTCCCCCAGCTTGAAGGCTGGCGGCATGCTGGGTTGGCCCCGGGAGCCGGTGCACCTGCTTCTGAGGGCGAACCAGCTCTTCCAGGAGGTCGCAGCAAGCCTTGCTCCTCAGGCTGGCACCAAGACTGCTGGGCGCCTGGCAGTGCGTGGGAGTGATGGGCGTCTTGCTTCCGGGCATCGGCCTGGACGTGGGGACCCAGAAAGGCTGCCCTCAAGGTATTGAACATCGGTGGACAGAGATATCCTAACTGGAAAAGGACAGGGTCCTCTCCGTTGCCGCAGACACAGCCAGGCGGCTTCTGTTCTCTAGCACCTAACACATCTGGACAGTGCCCGGGCTTGAGCAGCCCCAGCAGTAGCAATTCCCTCAAGTACCGCTAAAGCCTCCCCGTCCTCGAAATAGCAGTCCCCAACTCCATCCTGAGAGCTAGGCAGCTTTCCTGGAGGCTGCCCTCTCCAGGCCAGGCCTTTCCCAGCTGGTCTTGATGATCAGTCTACTGCTGCAGCTAAACTCAACTTACCTGCTTCTCTCCTCTAACACCTCTGGGGGCAACTGGAAGGACCACACTCTTAGCGAGGTGTCTTAATGATGCCCTACCCAGAAACTCCTGCTCTTGAAGGAACCATGTCTTAGGAATAGAACTCAAGGCTGCAGCCCTACGCTCCGAAATAACAGATGTCTCTAAAGCGGCTGTTGCTTTACTCAGTCTTCAAAAACTAGGTACAACTAGGTCATTACTTCTGCCTCTTAGTCTTCCCTGCTCCCAGGGCGTTTCAAACCTTGGACTGATACAAGGAAGAGAGAGTGGCCCTCCCTACAAACAAAGCCGCCTCTGTCTCTGCTGCCTGCTGAATTATAGGGGTACGCATCCAGGTCCAACTCAAGCAGCCAGAGAGCAAGACCGAAAAGAGTTTTCGGAGACACCTGCTCTGGAAAAAATTATCCAAAGTTACACACTCTGGCAACAGGAAAAGCTTCGTTTTTCTTTTCTTTTTAATTAATTAAATTTCACGACAGCATTAACAATATTTTGTGAAGTTTTTTTTTTCTCTTTTTCTTAAAAAGGGACTGATCCTGGCAGAGGAAAGAGAGATGAGGGGGAACAAACTACTGCAGACCAACAGGTGTAGCAGACAGAAAGAAAAAAGATTGGGTGGCAGAGCAGAAAGCCCTGCAGACTTGAGGGTGAATTTTACAAGAAATCTGTACATTTATCAAATAAATTAAAATTCTCCTAAATTGATTGTCCTTCACTTAAAGCGCTCCAGTATGCCTAACTCCTTTGAGCATTGCTACCTACCCTTGTTTTCTTCCTTCCCCCTTTTCTTCTGTTTAATTTTTCTCTTTCTACACAAGTGACTGTGATTACACTGCCAAAAAGTCTACTTCCCTCCTGGAGGAAGGAGCAGGGCTCTCAGGAAATTTTGTACAATATTGCACAGACCAAAAAAAAAAAAAAAAAAGATACTGCAGAATAAAAATGTAGGGGGGGGGGAGGATAAAATATATGTTTTTTAAAAATATTGAAACCATTCTCTCAAAAACAGGAAACAAAGTAATAATAGTAATATTAATAATTTACTGATAAGTGAAATTCCCCGAATAAATGCTACTAATAAATAAGACCACTCAAACCCGACAGAATGGAATTGTTTCCATTTTCAATGTCCTGATTTCTGGCTGTTTTAACTTTTCCCTTTAAACAATTAGAGAATTCTTAGATCACAAAGTGAGACCGATGGAGAGGTTAATTGCCAGACCTTTCCCGGAGAGAAAAGAGGCCCAAAATGGGGTTCCTATGAGAGGTTGCTCAGATTCTGAAAACCGGAGAGGTAACTGGTTAGGGGTGAGGCGGAAGAACCACACCCCGAAATCCAGAAATAGTACTCCCCTATGAATTCTTTCCCTCTGGATTCTGGATATTCTATAGAAAGTGAATAAACTAAAGGGATTCGGGTTTTGCGTTTACTTTCCTTCTACAAAAAGAAAACCAAAAAGTCACAGCGCAATGCAAATTTAGGGATAGGGCTGCACATTTCACAAAAGCTTTCAGCCAAAATATTTGACCTGGAAATGTTATCATTTTCCTGCTTTCTCTTAATTAGTAACCAAAATCAGAAATAAGAGGAGAAGCGCCTCAAATCCATTAGGGATGAATTGCACGAAAATGCATTGCAAATACTTACAAAATGCTACCGATTGGGGAGGGGGCCAGGCAGTGCGCGAAGCCCCGGTTCCCAAGGCCGCTGGACGTTTCCACACCCTCCGCCCGGCCCAGTCTCCTCCGGGATCCGGGGAGGTGCCCGGGCACGCCCTCCACCTCCCCTCTCGGGCCTCAGACCGGCCGTAGCAGGGGCACGGACGAGACCACAGGGTGCGAGTAGTAGACCGGGTGCGGGAAGGTGAGCAGCGGCTGGCTGACCGGCACCGGGGCCCCTGCAGCCGCGGCCGCCGCGCCCTCGGCCGCCGAGTTCTCGTGGTAGAGGATGGGGACGCGCACGATGCGCTGCGCCGCGGCGTGGCTCAGGTTGGCCGCCTCCAGCTCTGCGGCCAGCTGCCGCTTCCACTTGTTGCGGCGATTCTGGAACCAGATCTTGACCTGCGTCTCAGTGAGGTGCAGCGAGGCGGCCAGGCCGGCACGCTCGGAGCTGCTCAGGTAGCGCTTCATGTCGAAGGTGGACTCGAGCTGGAAGACCTGGCTGCGCGAGAAGACGGTGCGCGTCTTCTTCTTGCGACACGCGGGCTTCTTCTCGGGACTCTCGGCGCCCTTCTTCCAGTCCTCGTAGCCCGGGGTCGCAGACACCGCCCCTACGCTCGCCCCGGCCGCACCCGGCGCCGCCTCGCCCTCCTTCTTGCCTTCCTCCGAGTCACTCTCCTCCAGAATGATCTCGTCCGGGCTCTTGGAGTCCAGCTCCTTGTGGTCGGGGTCCGCCTTGAGCAGGGGCTCCGGGGAGTCGCGGTCAGTGCCTGAGGCGGGGGAGGAGTCTCGCAGGAGGGCCTTCTCCGAGGCTGGGGAGACACAGACAGACGGACGCACACACACGCACACAGACACAGCCTTGAGCCAGGCCCCGAGCTGGAGGCAGCGCGCTCAACCCGCACCGGCCTCCAGGCCCAGGGCCCTGCGGCCCACCGCTCTCGCGGGCCTCTTGCCCCGCTGGTGTGGGGTAGGCAGCCAAATCCTGGGGTCCCCTCCTCCCGAGGACATTCGAAGAGACGGTAACAGCACGGCCGCTCCTTCCCTTCCCTAAGCTCTCCAGCCAAGGGCCCACGGGAAGACTCGCCAGCCGCCTGGGTCCATCTGAGTCAACCCCTTCTTCCGGGCAGCGTTCCCAGCCCCGGCTGTCGGAAGCCACCCCCTTCATGCCCGAGGCCACTTTTCCCGGGAAGCGCCCGAGCCCGGGACTCCAACTCCGCCTCTTTTCTCACCAAGTGGGATTGGATTCCCGGACAGCGCAAGCGAGCGCGCTGGCAGGAGATGCAGGGCAGGGGCCGGAGGCAGTTAGCCAAACATCGGGTTTGCGGGAGTGGGGATCCCAGATCTGCGGTGGAAACAGCGCCGGGCGGGGACGGGACGGGCGCGCGGGGGAGGAGAGAACGAAAGTTCAAAGAGAGGTCGGTACCTTCAGGTCGCGGGAGGTGGCCGCCGGCGGGGGTCAGGGTGTAGGGGTACCACCAGGCCGGGGAGCGCTCCAGGTAGTGCGCAGGCAGGGCAAACCTCTGCGTTGGGATCTCAAAGCGGGGGAAAGCCAGGTCGCCCACCTGCGAGAGCGCGAAGCCCGCGGCGCCCTCCAGGGCCCCCTTGGCCGCGGCGGCAGCAGCGGCGGCGGCGGC